ATCAGATCCTTTGTTCTGTCTGGTTCCTGTTTACCTGCCTCACCTGACGTGCTTAATAATGGAACATCTGTATGAGCTGTGCCGTCAGCCGCTGTTGTCAATAAAGTTTAACTCTGTAATTCAAAGCAAAGCTATTTTCAGCTGCTCTCACACCGCAGCGACTATCTCCACATGTTTGAACCAGCAGATTTTACCTGGACTCTGTTCCTGCCACAACAGTAAAAGAGATGAGACTGAGATCAGTTTGATGTGACCTCAGTGTGTTCATAAACTGCTATAATGTGTCTTTGTTTATCAAACCGTGTTTCAGATTTTCACATATCAATAAAGTTTAATGACGGATTCTCTGTGTGTGTGTTGAGTCAGACTTTGAGCTCTCACAGAATGAACATTAATGAGTCTGAATTTGTCTTTGCAAACACAAAGATGTCAAACTAAATCCTGATGAAGACTCTGCTGATAAAAGCAGGTGAAAGAAAAATCAATGAGTGTTTATAGAAATGAATCTAACATGTTTATATTCCTGCTGTAACATGTTTTAATATCTGGTATTTAAATTTACTCTGAATATGGATAAAATCTCATTATGATTCAGGTAAGTTTAATTTCTACAACACAAAATGACAACAACAGTCAGCTGAAGCAGCTTCATATTGTGATGTAAATACTCTTCTATAATACAACATAGTAATAATTTAATATGAGCTGAAGTTCATCTGCTGCAGTCTGACTGTTAATGGTTTATAAATGTGAATCTGAATTTCTCTGCTTGAATATTTAAATGCAAATTGAGTGTAATGTTAATGTAACAGTGAAATGTGATCCAGCTGCATGATGACATCACACTGTGGCGTCCACGCAGGAACATCAGCCAGACACGAGTCCCACACACCCACAGAGCTGATTGTAAATCTGATCACTGTCACTGTTACAGGTTCTTATCATTGTTACAGCAGGTCTGACATCAGTGTTTGGTGCAGATAATTATTATACATTAATATGTTTCCATGACTGCAGACTGTGACTGAAATGTAAATGAAAACAGGTTTTCAGTTTGCTCTGCTTTCAGAGCTTTAATGGAACAGAAACACACGTGGAGATGAAGGGTGTGAACTATGAGCTGATCCCACAGCAACAGATGATGCTGTGGTCATGTGACCTGACTTCCTGTTTCTCGAGCAGCTCTCCGTCAGACTGAGTCAGTTTGTCTGGAGAACTTAGAAACATGGCTTCATCCTTCCTCTGCCTCCTCTTCATCAGCCTCAGCACAGCAGGTACCATCAATACGCTCACCAGTGATCATTAATACACTGATCAATGACATGATTCGCCCTCAGTCTGATGTTCTGTTTGTTCTCAGATGGATTCATGACTTACAGACTGTCTCGCTGTGACTTTAACTCCACTGAGCTGAAGGACATCCAGTTCACCGACTCTTACTATTACAACATGATAGAGATCATCAGGTTTGACAGC